TTATCATAGATTCGAACTCACAAATAGTTTGTAAAATTCTAAAATGCTATGATTTTTTTTTTCTCATTAACAAAACACAATCATCAAAACTAATTTTTAAAAATTATCTATTAATTTTAGTATATTGCTCCAGAGATAATTTTATCACGTGGTTATAATAAAAGTGTTGATTATTGGGCATTAGGTGTATTAATGTATGAAATGGCTGCAGTAAGACAACTTTTGATAATTTTGCTATTAAATCATTTTTTGTTTTTGTTTATTTTCAAACAAAAGGGTTTTCCACCATTTTATGCTGATCAACCAATACAAATATATGAAAAAATAGTTCAAGGAAAATTTAAATTTCCATCACATTTTTCAAGTGAACTTAAAGATTTAGTTCGTAATTTACTTCAAACAGATTTAACAAAACGTTATGGTAATTTAAAAAATGGTACAAAAGACATTAAATATCATAAATGGTTTTCAACAATGAATTGGATTGCTCTATTTGAAAAACGTATTAAACCACAACATGTACCTAAACCTGATAAAGATCATTTTGAAAAATATGATGAAAAACCTATGACACATTCTTCAATAGAACTTTATCCAGTTGAATTTGACAGTTTTTAAATAACAAACAAATAGTTAAAATGAAAATAATTACATCGCTAATTTTTTTTTGTATATTGTCAATGTTGCTATTGCTTCATATTGAAAAAATATCAATTAGTGAAAAAAAAAATACATTAGTTGTTGCTTTATGCTTTGCTCAAATCTCATATGTGATTGACTTTAAAAAATAATGTTTACTTCTTATATATTAACAAAAAAAAAACCAATTTATCGTTATCAATGTTCTATTTTGAATGATATTTAAAATATTTATAAAAAAACAAAAAAAAAAGTTTGTATTTTAATATTTTTCTGTTCGAAAAAAAAAAAATTGAGTAAATGAGAGACTTCTTAAAATGTTTTTATTTTATTACAGATAAATAGTTGTGTTGTGTAAGGAAGTGTAGAATAAAGAAGAATAAAAAAAAAAAAACAAATATTTGCAATGGTTAATGTTCACTCCATCTGTTAGTATAGGTCATCGAATTCTTGACTAAAAATTATTGAACTCACTAAGTATACTTATCTGAAACCTCTTATTATCCTAGAACAAAACCAATCTGACTAAAGATTTTAAGAAATATGTGTTCAAGTCTTAGCAGTTCACAGTAAGGATTTTAGTCTAAGATATTCAAATGTTCATGAGCTATGATAACATCAAGAGTCAGAAAGTAGATCTCCATGTGATAAGGATGTCGTAAGATTTTGGATTGATTTTTAAATGCACTCAAGATCTGTTGTCGCAACAGTGTCTCTTATATTTTTCCAAAAAGTAATTCGAAAATAAAAATTTGCGCTTTGCTAAATTGTAGAGCATGATTTTTTTCTTGCATGTAAAAATTTTCCAAGCTTTCTAGCATATGAATTGGCTATATAAATGTTTTACACAATAACAGGAAAAAGAATAGAAACATGCAAATAAAGTTTAGTCTTGAAATCTAAATTTCTTTCTTTCTTAATAAAACAATATAGAAAAATAAATCTTAAAAGAGCATGATTAATTTGATGAATAGTATAGAAAGGCTATTTAATTATCACCTCCATTTTCGATTTTGTATATTTAGAGTTATTTTCTTCATTCTTGCGCATGAATGATAATGCTACGGATTCTGTATAATTTCCATGAATAGAGTAACATTCCAATTAGAAAGTGTCTTTAGAAAAAATAATGATTTTTTTTTTTTGCGTGGGCTAATAACCTTTTTTTTATATGTAGATGCATGGTATATTATTATAAGAATTTATCTTAATATTCAATATATATGAAGACTAACTATGTTGTTTGAGATATTACGAAAATGAAATTCATTTTATTCAAGCTACTTTATAATATCAATATATTCTTATTTATAGTAGAATGATTATGTTCTTGGTTTTTCTTTTTGTTTATTATTGTTAGTGTATGCGGGTGTTGTTTGTTCTTTTATTTAGAAGATTGATTGTAGACTATTTTAGTTATTCTCTTGTAGAATAATAACATGTATAGGATAACCAATAGATAACTAGATGATAAAAACACTCAATATCTCCAGTTGGCTGTCATCGATAAGAGTGATTTTTTTCTTTTTGGCTTGGTGAGAGAGAAACTTGTGAAAGTTTTTATTCACACGGAAATCATCAACAATTGCTCTTTTGAAATACCACTATAGGCCTCAATAAAGAGACGTACACACTAATGGACGAAATTATGTCTATGAGAGTAGTTAGATCTTGATTGCTTGCGTTGCAAAAGAATTATGATATATGATCGTACGTCTAATTATGAGTGCCATACATCAAGAAGGGAAGAAAGTTATAGCACAGTCAATCTATGATGATGTACAACATGCATAGCTTTTGAATGCTTCGATGAAACTCGTTGGAATTTATAACTTAAATAGTTGCATTAAAGAACAGCATAATAATAGGTTTGTCGAGTCATAAACTAATTCTCTTCTTGAGTTATAAGGCTTGATATGAGAGTGATTGCAAAAAATCATAAGAACTCTTCAACTCAAGCAAATGTCCTTGGACTGGTCTCAATACTCTATATTTTTAAGGTAGTATATAATGAATTAGAAATTAACAAAGTCAATATTGTGTAGCTTTATTTGGTTATCTGACTCGAACAATATTCCCTATCTTCTTTCTTTTCCATCATGCTCAGACTGATCAAAATGGCATCATTTAAGGACTCAAGAATAATTGATAAACAGACCCCAACATGTACTGTGTTCGAATCATAAATTATCTTAGATACATCGTTATTCATCACTTTACAAACTAAGTACACATTTATAATATAGATATGTTAGGTGCAGCAATTTCTGCTATATGGCATTATAGAAAATCATGTCAAACTGATTACACCAATTCAATCATTGTACGTTCTAGTCTGAATTTAAAATAGAAGAATTGAGATTGCAACTTGAATGTATATTATATAACAAGCCAGATTAACAATTAGTAGTCTTTACAATATATAGCATCTATCATTCATCAAATAAATAAGAGATGAAAAGTATCTGAAAAGTTACATTGCTCTTTGATCAATAATTGAATCAATATTGACCTCGATGAAACTCATTAGATAGATATTTTTATAGATGATACATCATTACATGATATAGAAGTCAATGAAACCTATTGATTGATATGTGAATTCATTCAATAAAAAAAAAAGAAGTAATTAGGACTTTAGATTAATAACAAAGCAAAATTCTTAGTAACATATAACTTGAAGAACAAAATAATCAAGATAAAGTCACTTATAGGGTTATTAGAACATATTACCAGTGATAGTACATTATATCAATGTAGAAAGAATTACAGATTATCTAAGTTTCTTTGAAGTTCATACAAGGTTCTTTCCTTTTTTTCTCGATTAAAAGATTTCTTATCTAACCCTCAAGAGAAATAGCACGTGATATCTATTCATATCATTCAAGTCACGTATAAATTGGCTTTTTTGTTTTTTATTACAATCAATCACGAAATGAATAACTCTAGCTAATTTTTGCATTAAACAATCCCTTCGGATTTATAGGATTTTCTTCGGAATCTAGTACGAAAATAATGACAATTATAAATTTTTGCATACGACGTCTTTTATTATTGTATTGTCATAAGTGAGAGAGCGAGAGCGGAATTTTTTTTTTTTCTACTTGTCTATGTAAATATAAAAATATAATGCCTTTTTTTATTTTTCAATTATATTTACCAATGAAATTATAATTGATATTAATCTAAATAAAAAGACTACAATTTATTTTCTAAAATAATATTTACCTTTTCTTATCGTCCTTGAAATCGATCTACATAAAAATAATACAATATATTTCTTAGACTAGTATATTTACCGACGAAGTTATTATAGTTTAAAATAGTTTTTCTAATAAAACATGATGAATTATACAAGATCTTAAAAAAAACAAAATAGTCATGTCTATTTTTTTTATTGGTTGAAATTCATTAGAAAGTACATATTATTCAGTTAGAAGTTTCTTCTATCGGATATCATGTTATGACAATATTAAAAATATTTTCTAAGGCAAAAATCATCAGAATTTTATTTTTCTTGCTTTTAGAAACATAAAAAAAATTACGAATGAGTTTTGTACAGATGATTTTTACGTAATTATTTTTGAAATATCACGATTAATCAACAAACTTACACAATTTTGATGAAATAAGTACAGTCTTTGGTAGTATATCTACAACATTTGTCATAGCTTGTGATGAGTAGTAACTGAAACATAATCATAAACAATAACGCGGAACATATCGATCATTTATTCATACTTTTTGTAACAAAGCAACTACTAGACAGATGTTACAGAAGACATTAGACTTCTAATCAAGTTTTAAATTTTCTTGAATTCTAATTTCTCCTATAATACAAACATCACAAAAAAAAGTGCAAAACAATCAACATATATGTTTTGTTACAAATTCAATTAAACAAAACCAAACATATATGTTACCATTCGATTGAATCGAATCGAATAAATCAAGAACATAATTTTCTTCTTCGATGCTAAATACTCAACATGAGAAATCCAAAAATTTTCTCTCGGAAAAGGAAAATATGCTCTTAATTCTGAAACAACTGTTGAATTTTAATATCCGGCTTTAATGAATATATTCAATTCTTGAAAAAAAAAACAATACATAAGTTGTATGTTATCCTTTCAAGGTCAAGATTCAGAATTTCTTTTTAATTGAAATTACAAACACATATTCAAAATATATATAATGCTATTTTTTTTGTTTTTTGATTAACATAAGCAAACCCAGTGTTTTTTTTTTTTTGTTTAAAACTGTCTTCATACACACATTTATATCTGTTATCGTACAAAGTACGAACAACGACAAAAGGAAAAAAACAACACGAAAAAAAAAATTCGCGAAAAGAAAACAATTTATGTTGATCCTCTTGTTGTTTGTAGTGGTTTATAATGTTGAATTCCTTGTAGAAAAATATCTTTAACTGATTGTATTGTTTCATTATATAATTTTAAATCTTCTTCTTTAGCATCTAACATTGATTTCAATGCATTTTTAAGTGCATCATTTTCTTCTGTTTTAAGTGTTAGACGCATTTCAAGTTCTTCAATTGTTTCATGATTATCTGATTGTATAGATGCTGATTTTGGTAATGATGGCATTGCTCCACGTCCTTTGACTATTGAAAACAAAGATAAAAAAAAAAACGATTTATTTAAAAAAAAAAAAAACAATATTTACCTGTTCGATTTTTTACATTATTTAAATCAAGTTTAACTTTTTCCATATCTTTTTCTAGACGAACATTCATTTTACGTTGTTCAATTAATTTATTTTCTTGTTCAACAAGTTGTGTATTAGAATTATCAAGACGTTTTTGTAATGTTTGAATAAATTCAACAAGACGATTTCGTTCAAGTTCTAGAGCAGCATTTATACATTTGAGATCTTTATCCTCCTTTAAAATTCAATATAAATTTAAAATAAAAAATAAAAACGAAAAATTGTTGATTATATATATATATATTGTTTGTTTCTTACAGAAGATCGTTTAATATTGACTGCACTTGGTGGTCGACTATTTGATGAAGTTGTAAAACCATTTTTTTCAAGACGAGTAAGAACAGGATCTGATGTTGTAGATTGTTTTAAAGTATTTAATTGCATCGGTGCTAAAGTAATACTTTGTATTGGAGTATGTCGACTCGTAATATTGACAAATGCCAAAGAATCATCAGGTTTAGCAAATGTTGAAGGTAACTCAGTGTCATCTTTTTCATACTAAAATTACAAGAGTTTTATTGTTATATGTGTTATTAACAAATATTCAATGAAGTTTCTCAGTTTGAATCGTGTCGAAGATACGAGATACTTTTTTTTTTTCATCGATTATTTGTATTCTGTTACTAACACAGTCTATACATTTGTCAGACAACCTTAGCAATGATTTTATAATAATCGAGTCATAATTGACCATTACTTTTGGAGTATGACCTATTCGATCAACTCTACCTAAAGAGTAATAGCCAATTATAATTAGAGATCTTCAGGAGTAGGGACGGCGCAAAGAGGTCAGAACAAGGGGGGGGGGTACCCAAAAATCGGAGAAAATAGCCTAAAATTTGTCCGATTGTATTTTTTCAAAATCGGAGAAAACTATTTAATAATCTCTCTAAATTAGGAAAAAATCTGAACCAGAATTCTTAAAGCAGGCAGGGTTATCCTCCCCCGCTTGCGCCGCTCCTGAACAGGAGTGGCCGAATCGTTTGACCAAGTCCTCGAAAATATTTCTACCTAGATAGTCTAGACTTCGAAATGATGTCTAGCAATAAATTACATAGAAGTGTGCATGTAGTTCTTCTCTTAATTCACACGATTTTGAAAGTGATAAATAGCAAACTAGTATTATGCTAGAGATGTTCAGAGTAAGTTTTTTTTCGTACTCGGTACCCTAACTGAGAAAAATTTTCTTTCCATTAGCCTACCACACTCTGCACATCTCTAATTATAACTTATTTATTAAAAGATCACCGTCAAGATTGTCTGAGAAATATGTAGAAGTGTTCGAGTCATTGAAGTTAGAGTATGGTTCGAATACGAGTCGAAAAAAAATTTTGGATCCAATGAGCTCGATATTTCACTAAGATGATGACAAGAGCGAACGCTTTCGAATTACAGTGTTCCTCTAATACTTATTACACTCTATCTATGGATAAATCTATTAACTTTTCAAAGAAAATATTTCAATAATGGAAAAATTTTTTGAATCATACAAATGATTTAATTATAATAAAATCTTACATTAATTTTATTTTCATCTAAATGCATTTCAAGTTCTCTAATTTTTGTTTCTTTTTGATCAAGAATTAATTGTAATTGTTTAATCATATTTGTTTGTTTCATTTGATCTAATTTATGTGATTGTTCTAATTCAATATTTATTTTAGTTTTCATATCTAAATCTTTTTGTAATTGTTCTTGTATTATTTTTATTTGTTGTTGTTGTTTTAATAAAACTTCAACAAGTTCATCATCATGTTTACTTTTTTCTAATGATGTTTTTAATTGTTCACGTAATGTTTTTAATTCATTTGATAATATTGTATTACGTGTTTTTGATTGTTCTAATTTATCTTTTAATGTTTGTTGTTCATTACGTATTGTTTGAATTTCTTGTTTTTGTTGTTCAAATAAATCTTTACGTTCACGTTCAATACGACGTATTTCATCACGATGACGTTGTTGAGCAATAGACATTGTTTCATCATATTTAGTAGCTAAATTATTACTATCCCAATCATCATTTAAACCCGTAGATGAATTCATTGTTGTTCGAGCTTTCAATTCATTTATCTAAATTGTTTTTATTTTAAAAAGAAATTTGTTTAAAAAAAAAGAAAAAACAATAAAATACTTTGTCTTGTAAAGCTATGATTTGTTGTTGACGACCACGCCAATTACTTGTACCATTTAATATTGCTTGAATATTTACTGTATCACCAACTTCTTTTTCTAATGCCTAATAAAAAAAACATAAGGAATTTAGGATAGATAAATTTTGATAAATAGAGCAAACGTTAAGAAATAGGGACGTTTGTACTCTCTGTTTCTTTGAAAAGTTTGATTTGAGAAAAGTACGAAACAATCTACAATTTTCATTAATTTTGTTTTCTTTGCGAATTTTTAATATTTAAAGACTACTTTTAGAACCCAAATGAGATAAAAAAATAGTTTAAAAATATTGGTATATCTAGATCAAAGTAACTTTCAAATTTCAATTTTCCACAAATTGACCTTACCAATAGGATTTATTCATTAGGAAAGAATACGTTTTCTAATATTTACTGTTCTTAGATACTAATATTGCAAAATTTTATTATGCAAAAAAAATTGAAATTTGTTCTCTTATTTCTGTATCAGGACAGTATTAAAAAAAACCTGATACTTTCATAATGAATGAATCCTGCTGAGAACTTCATTATAAGCAAGAATCTTTTTTCTTTTTTTAGCTTTTTTGTAATTGAAGCTGATTAAATTTTTTGTATTCAAGTATGATTTTGAAATTTATCAATGAACAAAAGACAAAACATTTTTAAATATTAGAGTTCAATTACATTTTATGATATTTTAGTTAATCATATATCAAACGATTTTTTTTTGTTCTTCTAAGGAATAATATGAATATTAAAAACTAATAAAATAAATTATTTGATTTTAATCATTATGATTCACTTGAAAGAAATCAAAATAAATAAAATCTCTCTAATATAGATATCATTGAAACCGGTCAACATAATTCACTTATTTTCCAACAATTCATAAACTCAACTTTTTACATCAAATGTAAATCAACACGCATTGACATAATTTGATCTTATTAACTATTAAAACATAAATAACAAGATCTTACATCAAGCACTATTATCGTTCTTATCTGTCTTTTGAAAATGTGCGACTAGTTCATCTCCTTCTCTTGCGTTTTCTATGAATATTAATCATAACATAATTTATTTTTCATTCTGTACGTGATTGATTATATAAATAGTTATGAGAGTAGAAATAAGCGCCTACTATCCGGTATACAATATTCAATCAAAGACAAAAGTTTAAATGAAAATATATTTTTGATTTTTTCTATAATAACAAGCATCTAACTGAAATCCAAATAATGATTCGGATAGCCAATGAAGAGCTCTA